AAAAATATCTACCGAGTTATCAATCTAAATTGAAAATTTTCTTTGAGTATACTACCCATCAAATATAGGGTTGTGACACCGGACCGGAGGGGCTCGACGAATCCACGTCGACGATCCGGTGGCCGTGGCCGAGCAAGTCTCCAAGAACTCCTTCTTGGAGAAAGAATCCACCACCTAAGATCACTCTCAGGATAGAGAAATCAAAAACAACAAGGCAAAAGCCTTCATTTTCTTTATTCTCTAAAAATCTCCCTCATTACACTTAATGGCTATGTATTTATAGACAAACCATAGCAACCTACTAGGCTACACACAATATAGGCAAACACTAATCCTATGTAGCCATATAAACTACCAAATGGATTAAACTATCCTGAAGTTAATCAATTAATGGCTCAGCTCCGACGTCAGGTTGTATTTTGAGCATCGTAATAATCAAATTATAGTTGTCTATAACCATAACTTATTTGATACTATTTATTTATTTATTTATTTTTTGGTTAAACCAATTCATATGTCATCTAGCAGACATGATGATGTAATATTAAACTTTGATACTTATTTGATGCAAGATATCTTAGGGCCTAGGGTTCTTAAAGTTGCAAGATAGCGACACAAAAAAGATATAGCGAAATGGATGAAGATCACACCACAAAGATATGGGTTCCGCAGATTCAAAAACCACCTGTTGAAAGAAAAATTCACTTTTGTTTATGTATATTTGAAAATACGGGAAATCCAAATAAAAAGATAATCCAGCAATCGATTAAATAAAACAATAAATATTTAATGTTACCAAAAATCTACAAGTCAATTAAAATTTCATGTCACAATTGAAAGCCCTATTGTTAAAGATTTGACAAAAATCAAGAACTCTTGAAAAACCATCACAAAATATTTAGAAGAAAAAAGAGAACAAAGAAAGATTCCATCAAGTAGAAGAAAACCCAATCCTCATGTCGGCCCAAGCCTAAAAATTTCTGAAAAAAATATTAATCATTACAGTACCGGACTCGAAAGAATCCAATCCACTAGGCAAACACAAGATTGAAGAAAAGATCTCGGATTTTATTAAGTCAATCATTGTTCTTTATATGGCTTAGAAATTTCAGATTTATAATAAGAAATAACCCCAAAGTAGGTAGTTTCCCTATCAACAAAAACAATGAAAACTGTTTGTAGTTTCTGATCCTGTGAAAATGCTGAAATTCGGATTTGCTATATACATACATAATTTCAAATTAGCTGAAATCCCATAAACAACCGCTAACAGAAGGCCCCCTAATGATTGCATCATTTTGGTAAGTAATTGCAAAGCTGCTAATTTTGTTTTGCTGCAATACAGTATTCCTGTAGCAAACAATCGAAAGTTCTGAGCTGATAGTTTAACATCAGTATCCTTTTTCTTTATTCAAAATATACTCGGAGATTGATTTTTAATGAGTGGTGGAGATTTAACCAAACCTGCTACAATCTGATTTTCCTTTTGAAGTGTGAATCCCAAGCCTTTGCTTGATATCATTTTAAACTTTTTTTTTTTTTTTTTTTTTTTTTTTTTTTTTTTGCATAAATTCTATTTTAACGATGTTTAAAATAGCATTTGGAGTAAGTTTTAAGTGTCTTCTAAATTAAATTAACTAAGAGTTGGTAGAAGAGTAGCTTCACTCTTATAGACACAATATTAAATGAGTATATATGTGAAAAGGTGAGGTCTAGTGGCATATAGGATTAAAGAGAGTCGAATTAGATGATTTGGACACATAAAATATTGGCCTTTCAATGATCATGTTAGGAGAGTAGATGCATTAGATTTGGCCCACGTTAAGAAAGGTAGAGGTAGACCTAAAACGACTTTGTACGAAAATATTAAAAATGACTTTTTTTATTATATTTAAATAGAGAATTCTCTTAACAAGACATAATGAAGAAAAAAGATCCATGTAACCGACCCCACATGGTGAGATAAAGGCTTTATGTTGTTGCTGTTCTAAGAGTTGGCAGATTACAAATTTGATTTTTTTTCTCAAATTTTTGTGCATCCCATCCTAAATTTGTTTTGAGACCCTAAGATATTTTGCATTTAATTTGATATTAAAATCTATAGTTGCATCATCATATCAATTAGAAGTATGTCATAACAATTAGGTCATTTAAGAAAATAATAAAATGATGCAATTTAAATGAAATCTGGTAAGATATAATTCTAAACAATTACAGTCTGACTATCATGAAATTCATAATTATATCTCATATTTTGAAGAGAGGAATAACCTTAGGGAATTTTGAAGTAAGATTGATAATTTGAAAGATTTCTATAAATGTTATAATGTGCTTGATACTCAAAGATTTGAAATTGCTAAAATAAAAAATAGTAGAACATAGTCAATATTATCGGTGAAGTATTGCTAGAAAATTTACATAGGTCAATATCAAAGACAAGCCAAAAGAAGAATGATTCTCATTAAATTTATAGGACTAATGCATGATCAATTTAAGAATTGTAAGAGTGGGTGCCATCGAGTTCAGGTGATAAGGGTCATGGAAGTTGTTGTCAGGATCTTGGATTCAAACCTTACCTACATCATAATTAATCAAATCATGAAAACTTTAGGGTGCGGACAAAAAAAAAAGAAATATAAACAAAATAAATATGGTGTTTTTAAATAGTATTTAAGTTTAGACATCTTGTAGTTTAATATTATTTATCATTAGACTATTTTATAATAATTATTTATTCATTAAAAGTCTTAGACAAGAGATTAAGGATGAATTAAACCATAATTCACAAAAACCACAATATGAATCTTTATCGAGATCTTTAAAATATTATCCTTATAATTAAACAACTACAAAAAAAAAAAACATTACCATCATTTCTAAAGCTTGCAAACCTACACCAACATATAAAAACTGGTTTAATTTTAAAAATTCTGATAATTGGGAAATATATAAAGTGGCTCGTAAGGATGCTAAGAAAGCAATATGCGATGCAAAGGCATTAGCTTTTAGTGATTTATATAATAGATTAGATAATAAAGAGGGAGAAAGATATATGTATAAGTTAGCCAAACAAAGAGATAAGAGTAGTAAGGATTTAGTTCAAGTGAAGTGTATTAAAGATGAAGATCAAAAAATACTTTTCTTAGAAGATGATATTCAACAAAGATGGATGAGATATTTTGCTAAACTTTTTAATGAAGATTGTGAAAATAAGATTGACTATAGTGACCTTAGCACCCTAGATGAAAATAAAGATTTATATTTTTATCGGCGTATTAGTAAAACTGAAGTTAGAGAGGCTTTAAAAAAAATGAAGGGTGGAAAAGCTGTTGGACCTGATGATATTCCAATAGAGGTGTGGAAATGCTTAGGAGATGAAGGAATTTCATGGCTTACTAAACTTTTTAATACTATTTTGAAGACTAAAAAGATGCCAGATGAGTGGAGAATGAGTGTGTTAATTCCTATTTTTAAGAATAAAGGTGATGCACAAGATTGTGCGAATTATAGAGGTATTAAGTTAATGTGTCATACTTTAAAACTATGGGAGCGAGTTATGGAGCATAGGTTGCGGCGTGATACTAATGTTTCTCAAAATCAATTTGGATTCATGCCGGGTAGGTCGACTATGGAAGCCATACATTTATTAAGAGGTTTGATGGAGAAATATAGAGAAAATAAGGAGGATCTACATATGATATTTATTGATTTAGAAAAAGCATATGATAAAGTTCCAAGAGAAGTGCTATGGAGAGTTCTTGAAAAGAAAGGAGTCAATAATGCTTATATTCAAATCATTAAAGATATGTATGCAGGAGCTATTACTTGTGTTCAAACACAAGGTGGATTGACCAAGTATTTCCCTATTTCGGTTGGGTTACATCAAGGATCAGCCTTAAGCCCATATCTATTTGCTTTGAGAAAAAGCATTCATGTAGCCGACCCCACGTAGTGGGATAAAGGCTTGATGTTGTTGTTGTTGTTGTTGTAAGTCTGGTCCAAATGAGAAGACTCAAGTTCATAAATATTCTAGGGAGGATGCGGTACAAACAAAAGTTTATTTGCAGTTACAATGAGTTTGCATATGATAATGTTGAATTGGAGCATAAACCTATATTAGAATGTATAGTAAATTATATTGGAGTCCCTAAGGTCTAGGATGTGCTTTACTTTACCCCATGTTTTAAAAACTAAAAAATTGGCGCTATGGCACATTTTGCTACTTACAACTTAAATCCAATCAGCGAAGGGACACCTCCAACCTAACATCCATTAAAATTAGTGTTAATTCTACTCATGTGAAAAAAAAAAGTAAGAATATTAGTTGAATGTTAGATATTATGACTTACAAAAATGTCATCTTTGCCTTATAATAGAGCAATTCACCTCTTCATTCATAGGGATGCCAATAACTAACCCAAATATGACTAGAAAAAATTGGGTTTGGGTTAACCCAATTAATTTTTGGGATGAGTTAGAATCAGAAATCATGACCCAATTAATTTTTGGGTCAAATACAGGTTAATTTGAAAAAGTGAAATTGACCCTATTTTCATTCATGTTCGAGTTAAATGAGACATATGATAAAAGGGTCAAATGTGTCTAGTTAAGATTAGTAGGATTCAGGTTGTGGCAGTTCAGGTTAAACATTTTGACCCGTATGATAAACAGGTTGGGCATTTCAGTCAAGCATATTCGGATTAAACTGAACTGTCAACCCGAATTAACACCCATACTAATTCACTTCAAAGCCATTAAGCCTCTAATATTTTTCTAATAAATAGGAAAAAAATATTAGAATTTCTTGTACTTATCAAAGCACTAAACCACTTTATCCAAAAACACGAAGTTATCGGAACATTCCTTAAAAAAACTTGCAAATAAAGAAAATACCATATTTAAAGAAGTAAATATTCAAACTCACCTCCTTTACATCGTCTGCACGGCGAGTTGCAAATAAAGAAAATATCATATTTAAAGAAGTAAATATTCAAACTCACCTCCTTTACATCATCTGCACCGCGAGTGTAGGAAAGAGATATAAGGTCAACACTGTTCAACGAACCCCAAGTAGAAATAACCTAATATGATTATAAAAAGAGAAGTTGTTAAATATGAATATCAGTAATTCACAGCAAAAGGATTTTAATGAACAATTTATATATCAAACAAGCTTTAACATCTACTTATACAGTATTGACTTTACAATTAAGCAGTAAATAGCAAAAGATAAACTCAACGTAAAATATATTCATCCGCCCGTACTGCATTGCCTTCCATAAAAAAGTGAATAGCCAAAAGCTTAAAAAATGTAGACAATATGGCGCATGCATATACGGTGTGTATGTGAACTTGCTTTCACTTGTGAGTCATACAAACATTCAAAGGAAAAAAAAAGTGTTATATTTCAATTTTCAAGCAAAGTATAAGCTTGCAAACCTTCAAACACAAAACTATCCAAACAATAAATCAAGATCAATATCCTAAACTAAGCTACATTATCTAATAGTGATGTTAATTTTCTTATTACATTATATAAGTTCTAACGAAGATATATGCATGCATCAAGAACATAAAGTTAACTACTCATTAGACCACCACCAAATAAGAAAATAAATGTTTTATCATTTCCATTGCTTATAGGTACTTCTACAAAATTTTAAAGCATGCATCATACAATTTAATACAATAATTTTGATTTAAAGAAAAATGCATTAAAAAAGTGGTGAATGACACCACACACCATCCTTATAATACTTGATCAGCATTCACACCTTAAAAAAACATGAATATAATATACCACAAAAGTTATTCATATGTTGATCATCTTCAATGGTTTTGATCCATACCATCAAAACAAAGTACAAGGATTGCAATTTTTCTACAGAAATTGATTGTCGTTTATATCTATTATATGTGTTACATCACATATTAAAGAGCTCTAATTAAACCGACTAAAAAACAACATTTTTTTCAAACCTCTTTCTATTACATTTGAACCTCTTTCTCCTAAGACAGTTCAATTTAACTACCAAATCTTAACTCCAAAAGTTATCATATATATCCCATTATATGTGTTAGCATGGACCTTGCATTCCATATGAATGTTCCTAGTCTATTATAGGGCGACAAAATTTTGATTGCATGATATCTTATCAATTTGATCTCATCCACCATTGTTGGTGATGGGCAGTCCTCTTTGTCATGTATCCAGGGCAGTCTTTTACTTTTACACCTAAAATTTTTGGTTGTCTGCTTTGTACATTCCTTTTGAATTAGTGGAAAACTCTCTCAGATCATTTGGCATAACTACTTGAGCTACTCACATCCCCCAAAAGTTATTGTTATCATGAACACACCACCAAACGTATTTACATTTCAACAGACATCACTTTTCACGTGTGATCTATCTTCTTTTCTACATCTGCCTTTTTTCACTCATCCCATATGACTGGTCCACTTCCTCACAGAGCGCCTATATCCATTTCTATATAGGTGCAAACACACAATGACCTCATCCACACAACCCCTCCTAGAAAGTTTGATGATCTATTTGTGCTCATTGACATTCATAAAGGTAAATAATAGTATTCTGACAATACTATTAGTCTTATATGTACTTTGATAATTTGTCCTCTATTTCAGGCTTGTCATCCATTTTCTTCCCAAAACAAAACCTTGCTCAATTGACATATTGCGATCTTGTTGCCCCTTATGACATTAAACTAACCACATGCTGATGGTCAAATTTTATAACTTTGTTGATAGTTACAAGGCCTAACAGGTTGCTAAAGACCTGAGCCTATGGGATTGACTACTTTAACACATTATCCTAAATGCCACAATCAATTCTATCTAGATTGTTTTATCTGCTGCCATTAATCAAAGCTGACCTTTGTTAAAAATATATGTGAGTAATACTTTCATCTATAAAGATCACACTAAGGAGTCATATGGAGCGACCATTAAGGTACATTGCTCAAGGGAGGCCAAAAAAAGCAAACTCAATAAGTTTATATATGGACTTAAGCAAAGCCCTCAAGCATGACTCGATTTTTTTTTTCAAAATTCTTGTTCAGCATGGCCTTCACAACAGTACATCAAATAACTCAACCTTTGTCAGATGCAATTCATCTAAAATATTATCTTAAGAAATTATATAGATGACATTTTTTTTTTTATTGGGAGCAGTTAAAATTAAGGTATTGACACTACCTAAAAAGTGTTTCTGACCAAAAATCTGGGTTATCCAAAAGACTTTTTGAAATAGAATTTGCCTATAACAAAGAAAAAAAATTTCAACTCAAGAAAAATGTCACCAGCCTTCTCGAAGAAACTAGTATGATACATATCTTGACACTTAGAAGACTGAAAATAAAGAAAGAATTTTTGTAGAAGACTCTTGTTATCAGAGAGATTGGCTAGTAAATTGAGCTATTTTACTGTCATTAGACAAAACATCTCATATATGTTAAGGGTTGTTAGTCAACATGTGCAAACTCCCAAATAGAAACATTGCCTCCTCTGGACTTGATATGCTAAGATATAGCAGTAAGTCGCCGAATAAAGAACTCTAATGCTATGAGAGATATCCTAATTCGGAATCTTTTTTATGTTAATTCTTTTGGGTCAATTGATGATAAAATATTCAAATATGAGCATTTTATACTTGTGGGCCTTAAAAATACGCTTAATATGCAATTGTCTCCTTCAAAATCTACATAAAAGGCACACTTGCATCATAAATACTGCCATCTATAGACTTGCACCACAATTTTCTCCTTTAAAACCTGCAGCACAATCTCACTCGTGTAGGAGTCATCTCCTTTTAAGACCCACTTCATAATCTCGTGTCATAATCATCAACATCCAAATCTGTATTATACTCTCACTTATGCTACAATAATATTTTCAAATATTGTGCCTCAAGATCAACATCACAACCTCTCTTGCATCACAATCATTTCCTTAAAGACCTAAACCAAAATCTCACTTACACCATAGTTATTGTCACGTTAAGACCCACATCATAGTCTTGCTTGCACCACAGCTCTCATCAAATAGCCTATGTTACAACCTCACTCATATAGTAACCGTCATTATCCATATTTGTGCCACAACCTTGCTTCTATTGCAAACATATCCATCAACACTTTATGACAACCTTGTTTGAGCCGCAACAATCTTCTTCAAGATTTGCTCCACAATCTCACGTGCATCACGGGCATTTCCTTCAATACCAACAATGCATACTCGCTTATGTTGTAACCGTCACTTTTAAGACTTGCATCACAACCTCGCTTGTGTCGCAGTCATTGCCACATCAAAACATATGTTATAACCTCACATGCATTGTAATCATTCATCATATTGGACACTGCAATTTCTAATCGCAGCCATCATATTGGACACTACAATTTCTAATCACAGCCATATTTAGTAAGCCCTGTCTAATGGCTATCCCTATCAAGCTTGATCACATTCATCTTCAAATAGCAGTGCATTGCAACATCTCAACGCATTATCCCCTCAAATCACATACATTTATCAACATGGGGACTTACCCTAGCGCCCTTTGCCTATGCCTTTTCTAATTGCTTAAAGAGGTTTATTGTACGAAAGTCCCTCTAATTATTTGAAGGTGGACTACTCTTATACTAATTTTCAATTGGGCAAAGCCCATGATTTTTCTTCTACGCGAAAAAACTTAATGCCTTGTTATCTTTTGTATTGACTTATGGTGTGTTATTATAGATAAAAAGATACTCTAAGATTTTTTTTTTTTTTTTTTTTTTATACTCTAATATTTGTTGTCTTTATCAACTTGACTGGCATGCAAGACACGTGAAGGTTCTTAACATTATAATCTAAATTGGAGGAGATAGGAGAAAAGCAAAGCCAGTTCCCATATATAAAGACAGTAAATGTAAAATATTACCTGCTTGTCATAACTGGTCAAGGTAGGCAACTCAATTTTAGCTTGACATAAATGCACGATAAAAATGAAGCCAACAAGTGTAGCACTATTCTTCACAAGACAAGTGACATCTTGATCGACTGTCTCCAAGACCTATGCAAATTAATATACAAAATCACAAAAGAAGACCTTAATGAGACAAAAAATCACAACAAATTTATGTGCTTCAAATGAACAATAGAATCTATACCTCAAGCCAAATAGAGGTGGTCTCACTTCCTGTGAAAAGATACTGTCCAATGAAAATTGTGTCACCCTTTTTCACCACCTAAATTTAGGAGGTGTAGCTCAGATCATGTAAGCTAAATTAAGAGCTATACATTTGAATAAATTAACATTAAAAAAGTTCATTTAATAGAATATATAATTATGAGTCTCCCAAATAAATGATAATTCAACATCAAACTTGTTACTTGCTAGAAATATTGAATTTGTAATTGTATATGTTACGCCTCAGTGTTGTACAAAAATTCAACACGTACAGATAAAAATAGTAAGACCAAAATTTTTACGTGGAAAATCCGGAAAGGAAAAAAACTACGGGGACTGACCAAGTTGAAAAATATATTATGTTATAAATGATACAAAATTCTCCTTTCTTCAATGTTAAAGAAGAGGGGGATTAAATAGACGTCTGATTTTTCTTAAGAAAGATTACATAAATCAACTATCCACAGAGGGATAGTGATGGGGACATCAATTGAAAAGTCTACCGTCGACGTGGCCGTAGATCTACGGCCACGATCTGCCCGATGCATTTCTGATTTTAGTATGGTCATTTTATTTTGATGTATTTTATTTCTGCATTCTCCCTTTTTACTCTTGTTTGAGGGATTGAGTCTTGTAGCCCCTCGAGGGTATTTTAGTCTTTTATTTTATGTCATTGTATTAGGCTATTTATAGCCTTCATCTTGTACTTTTGATGGTTAATGAATGATTAAAAGAAATTTCCTGCATTTTGTCTTCTTGAAGCTTTTGTGTAGAGCTTGAAAGTTGAGAGTTTGGTGAAGCCTAGGAGAGGCCACCCGTCGTACCCAACAATCACCTCCGGTGGCTCTTGCCGCCGGCCCCATTAATGGGCCCCTCTCCTTTAATGCTTCATGAAGGGGATTAATTGCAAGGTATTCAAATTTCAAATCCATTTATTTTCCCTCCAAACTTACTCAAATCTGAAAATAATTTCAGATTTGTGTGTTAAAACAATTTCTTGTCCACCCAAACCTAACCCCTTGCCAACCCTAGCCGTTTTCCCCTTTTACAAACCGCCAGCCTCCCTCCCCCACCGTCCACCTCCTCTCTCTCTCTCGCCCCTCCCCCTTCTTAAGGTGTTTCTCCTTGTTGAGTTGAGGTGTATGATCGATTCGAAGCTTGATTCCTACTTCACATCCGATGGTCAAAGATTCGTGGATCTTCTCAACTTTCCTTCGTCGGAGTGATTCAAATCCTTGACAGATCTCTTGAAATTCCATCCTCCCGTAATAGCCGTTGAAGGAACAACTATTGGAAGGTACGTGGTGATCTACGTCGTCTCTCCTAGAAGGTGGTTTTCTTCCTTGACTCATGTTCTTTCAATTTCTAATTTCTTTGAGAGAATTTGTTCAAAGCAAGAGATTGTGTCTACTTATTGCCATCCATTAGTATTCATAGGAATTGTTACTTCTTTGCTCCTAGACCTCATTGTTATAATTTGGTTAAGTTGGAAACTACTACTTATGCAATGTTTTAATTCTTCTAAGTGTTTTGATGTGGTTTAGTCTCTTGTGTGGCTTAGCCTAAGCGGAAGTAACCGTTTATTTGTTTTACGTTGTTGTTTTAATCGCTAATAACGAAAATCTGAAATTGTTCTTAAATATTTTGTGCAAGTTTCCGATTTAGCATATAGTTCTACATCATCTTGGTATCAGAGCATGGCTAGCATGCGATACATGTGCTAGAATTCATTCTAGGCTATTACTTAGGCTTGCATATTTAATTTGGCATGCATAACATCTATAAAAACATGTTAATCTTTACTTACATTTGCTGTCCAGAAATTTCTGCATGCATTTAATGAGCATTAAGTGTTGATTTTGGGATTTTAAGTGCTGCCCCCTTTGTTATAACTCTTCTAGTTGTCTAGGATCACTTTGCACTTTGTTTTAGTTGCTGTCCAAACATTTCCTGCAACATTTAGTGTGCTGTAGGTTCATCGTTTAGGTGCCTAAGTGCTGTCCTTCACTTCCCCACTTCATTATTTGCATATAGAACCTTAAGCCTTACATGTAGATTGCTGACCTTGAGTTTCCTGCACCTTATTCCTTCAGATTAAGCGTGTTTCTTTTGGGTTTAGCTGCTGTTTTCCGACTAGAACCCCTCCTAAGTCACCCATAGTGTTTAGGAATGGACCTGGAACAAATAGAAAGGACTTTAGACCTCTTGGCAGGTCAGATGAACACCATGAGCCAGCAGTTGAAGGAGAATCAAGTTGACCTAGCGGAGCTTCGTAGGAACATCACCGAGAGGTTCGACACGTTAGAGCGAGCTAAGGAAAACCCAATTCCCTACACCCCTTCGAGACCTCCTTCCATGTATGGGGATGACGTCTACCACGATGAGGGACCTCCTCGTGCCCATCATCGTGCTCCCCACTATGGACATAACCATCCTCACGATCCCGATGTGCCACTCATGAAAAATATCAAAGTGGATGCTCGTACCTTTGATGGCACGCTAGATCCCCAGGTCTTCCTTGACTGGATCAAAGGTATGGATAGTTTTTTCAAGTGGTACAACATTTCTGACGCAAGGAAGGTTAGTTTTGCTGAGATGAAACTCACAGGTAGTGCGGGACAATTCTGGTCAAATTTAGAAAGCCTTAGAGAAGCCCGCAATGAGTATCCCATTACTGATTGGCTCACGATGAAGCGGGAATTGAAACACAAGTACGTTCCTCCGTCCTATTTCCCCAGACTGTTAGACAAGTGGAATAGGCTGACCCAGGGAGGCAAACCAGTCAAGGATTACATCGCATCCTTTGATGATTACTTGATTAGATGCAAAGGGGAGACCGCTGCTACTCCCACACAAATTTTGTCCATGTTCCGTACTGGATTGCGAGAGGATCTTCGCAATGAACTGTTCACCAGGAACGTTACTACTTTAGAGAATGCCTATAGTATTGTTCTAGACCTTGAAGAGAGTCGATCCCAGCACCCGAGCCGGTCCCACGACGTTAGGCACTCATACAGACCTTCAGGTAGCTCCACCCCTCACCCTCCTACCACACGACCGTCAACCGGGAGCACCAGCCGACCACCCTCCGGCCCTCCTGCTCCCCGATCTGATGTTAGACCTAAACCACCCACCCCGGATACATCTAGGTCCAACCCCGGGACCAAGTGCTTTCGATGCCAGGGGTACGGGCATATAGCTTCTCAATGCTCCAGTCCTTACAAGATTTCTATCATCGAAGAGATTATTGAGGACGATCCTGAACCCGAGGGTGATCAAATCCATCAGGTCGAGGATGAAGGCGAATTCTTTGAGGAGGACGAGGAGACCACCGCCCTCCATTGCCTTCAGAGACTGGATACCACTCCCATCTGTGTGGTGAGATGTGCACTATCCCAGCCCACCCCCACTGATGACTGGCGAAGGACCGCCATTTTTTCATACCTATACGAAGATCAAGGATAAGAACTGCAAGGTCATCGTGGATAGCGGTAGTTGCATCAATGCTGTGTCTTCCAGCATGGTATCCAAGTTAGGACTCGCTCCCGTTCCTCACCCCAGCCCGTATAAGGTAGCGTGGGTCAATTCCGTTGCCTTGGAAGTGAAGGAACGAAGTCTCGTGCCTATCTCCTTTGCCTCTTACAAGGAGAATGTTTGGTGCGATATTCTGATTATGGATGTTGGACAGATTCTTTTAGGTCGACCTTGGATTTTTGATAATGATGTCCACATCTATGGGCGCTCGAACACCTGCGTGTTCGAACATGCGGGTAAAAAGATCAAGCTTTTACCTTCGCAGCCCCGGGGTAAGGATGACACCAAACCCTCCCCAATTAATCCCAAGAAAGGTTTGAACTTAGTTACTGCTAAGGTTTTGGATTCGGAGGTCGCCCTCGACGCTCCTCTTTATGCTCTTGTTGGTCGTGAGATTCCCACTGAATCTGACGTGCCTATCCCCGAGGAAGTCCGACCTATTTTAGAGCAGTTTGCTGATATATTCCCTGATGATCTCCCAGATAGGTTACCTCCACTTAGGGATATTCAGCATGCCATAGACTTAGTTCCTGGAGCCTCTCTCCCGAACCTGCCCCATTATCGCATGAATCCTTCTGAGCACGCCGAGCTCAAGAGGCAGGTAGAGGAATTACTGCAGAGGGGTTTTATTAAAGAGAGTCTTAGTCCCTGCGCAGTACCAGCCCTTCTTACCCCTAAGAAGGATGGAACTTGGCGGATGTGTGTTGATAGCCGTGCTATTAACAAAATCACCGTAAAGTATCGTTTTCCGATCCCGAGATTAGATGATATGCTAGATATGATGTCGGGTGCCAAATTATTCTCGAAGATAGACCTGAAGAGTGGATACCACCAGATCCGGATCCGACCCGGGGATGAGAGGAAAACCGCTTTCAAAACGAAAGATGGCCTTTATGAGTGATTAGTCATGCCCTTTGGTTTGAGTAATGCCCCTAGCACTTTTATGAGGGTCATGACTCAAGTGTTGCGCCCCTTTATGGGTAAGTTTGTTGTCGTCTACTTTGATGACATACTTATCTATAACCATTCAGTTGATCAACACCTTGACCACCTTAGGCAAGTCTGTGATGTCTTGAGGAAAGAACAGTTTTATGCCAATCCTAAGAAATGTACTTTCCTCGTAAACCGAGTCATCTTTCTAGGCTATATCGTGTCTGCGCAAGGGGTTTCTGCCGACCCCGAGAAGGTTAGAGCCATTGTTGACTGGCCCGTCCCTCAGAACATTCGGGAAGTTCGCAGCTTCCACGGGTTAGTTACCTTCTATAGGAGATTCATCCAAAATTTCAAACCATAGTATCTCCTATAACTGATTGTCTAAAGAAGGGTGATTTTCATTAGACCCCGGCTTCCACCAAAGCATTCGATGAGATTAAGAAACGAATGGTGGAAGCCCCAGTGATGAGACTTCCTGACTTCTCTAAAGTCTTCGAAGTGACCTGCGATGCTTCGGGGGTCGGAATTGGAGGAGTCCTCTCCCAGGAGGGTCACCCCTGTAGCATATTTCAGTGAGAAGCTGAATGATATTAGGCAATGTTACTCCACTTACGATAAGGAATTCTACGCCGTGATCCAATCCCTTCGCTACTGGCGGCACTAGTTGCTCCCGCAAGAGTTCGTCATCTTTTCGGATCACGAGGCTTTGAGATACATTAATTCTCAAAAAAAACTTAATGCCCGACATGGCCGCTGGGTAGAATTTCTTCAGGAGTACACGTACACTCTTAGGCACAAGGTAGGGGTCGAGAATAAGGTGCTGACGCTCTCAGCCGACGAATGATGACTACTCTTGAGTTGAGAGCGGAAGTCGTGGGTTTTGATCAGATGAAGATGGCTTATCTTGAGCGCCCAGACTTCAAGGAAATTTACTCTTCCCTGTCCACAGGCAGCACCCGCCTTGTGGACGATTTCCTTTTGGATGATGGTTACCTTTTCAAAGCTCAAAAGCTTTGTATACCTCGCACCTCCCTTAGGGAATTTCTTGTGTGGGAGCTACACGCTGGGGGTCTCGCTGGACACTTTGGGAGAGATAAGACGATCAAGGCCATTGAGTACCGTTTCTTTTGGCCGAGCCTTAAGAGAGATGTTGGTAGAATGGTTGCTAGGTGTCACACGTGTCAATTAGCCAAGCAACGTAAACAGAACACTGGGCTTTACACTCCGTTACCTGTGCCTAGTTGTCCTTGTCAGGACGTCAGTATGAATTTTATTTTAGGCCTGCCAAAGACACTGCGAAGGAATGATGCCATATGCGTGGTTGTTGATCGATTTTCCAAAATGGCTCATTTCCTCCCATGTTCCAAAACATCTGATGCCTCTCACATCGCCAAGCTATACTTTAATGAGGTCGTCCGCTTGCATGGTTTACCCAAAACCATTGTATCGGATCAAGATGTTAAGTTCACTAGTTACTTCTGGAAAACCCTGTGGATGAAGATGGGTACTAAGCTACAATTTTCCACTGCCTTTCACCCACAGACGGATGGTCAGATAGAAGTAGTTAACAGAAGTTTGGGAAACTTACTGCGTTCTTTGGTAGGGGATCATATTAGAGACTAGGACACTATCCTACCCACTGCTGAGTTTGCATACAATAATTCTGTCAACCGAACCACGGGTCTAAGTCCTTCTGAGATTGTATACGGGTTTAAGCCTAGACAACCATTAGATTTGATTCCTATGAGTTCTAGGTATAGGATTTCTAAGTCAGCATCTGCATTCGCATCCCATCTGCATGAACTGCATAAGGAAATTGCACAAAATATTGAAAAGAGCAACAAAGATTACAAGTTATATGCTGATTTAAAACTTTTAAAGTGGGTGACTCCGTGATGGTGCGGATCCGTCTGGAACAGTTCCCACAAGGAACTGTTAAGAAGCTACACGCCAAGAGTGCTGGGCCTTTCAAAATATTAAGGAAAATCAATGACAATGCATACGAGGTAGACCTCCTCGAGGATTTCAACATCATCCCGACTTTGAGGATCTAATTGCTCACGAAGGCCCTGATTTCAATCCACCCAACCCATTCTTGCAACAGCCTGATATAACCCCACCATTGGAAAACCTGAATTTGCCCCCACTTCCTACCATTCCCAAACTACCCATGGCTGATAAAGTGGACATAGTTTTGAGTGATGACATTATCTCTACAAAGGAAGGTGGAAGGAGAAGGTACTTGATCAGGTGGAGAGGAAAACCTGAATCGGAGGACACGTGGATAGACCGCGAGGAGCTGCAGCGGATAGACCCAGATGCTTTGGAGCTTTACGAGAGAGATTCTTACTCGACGGAGTCGAGTTTTCTCCCACCCCGGGAGAATGATGGGGACATCAGTTGGAAAGTCTACCGTCGACGTGGCCGTAGATCTACGGCCACGATCTGCCCGATGTATTTCTGATTTTAGTATGGTCATTTTATTTTGATGTATTTTATTTCTGCTTTTTCCCTTTTTACCCTTGTTTGAGGGATTGAGTCTTGTAGCCCCTCGAGGGTATTTTAGTCTTTTATTTTATGTCATTGTATTAGGCTATTTATAGCCTTCATCTTGTACTTTTGATGGTTAATGAATGATATTACAAATTTTTCCTGCATTGGTCTTCTTGAAGCTTTCTTTTTGTGAGAGCTTGAGAGAGAGGTTGAGAGCTAGGTGGAGCCTAGGAGAGGCCACCCGTCGTACCCAACAGTCACCGCCGGTGGCTCATGATTTTCCCTTCTTCCTTCTTCCCTTATCCTCCATTTCCACCGCCGGCCCCTCCCACCACCGCCTACCATCCTATAACCCCTACCACCAAAATTCACTTCAACCTACCCACCAATCCAAGCCATCTTCTCCATTAAATTTGTTTTCTACCCACATCCCAATCCATGCTCACCGCCGGTCACCATGGTTGCCTCCATGGATGAGGAATTGATGTCACCTTGATGCTCGCCTAAAGAGTTCAAGTTATTTGGGAAATTATTTTCTTCATTTGAAATTCAAAATTTGAATTTCAAAAGTTTCCTAAATTGGAGAGCTATTTTAGGAAAGTATTAAACCTCTTTCATGACATAATTCAAATTTGATTTGGGTGGAGTTTTTCTTTTCCTAAATTAAAGGAGCCAAATAGGAAAGAGTTTTGTTTTCTCCACATAACCCACTCCCATTCCCTCTCAACATGCCGCCGGCCACCCACATGGCTCCCCCTCCTTTAATGCTCCATTAAAGCTCTTAATTCCATGGTTTTAATTTTTCAAATCTCAGATTTTTCCCTCCACTTTCACTTAAAATTTGAGAATAATTTTTGTTATGGAAATATAATGTTATTTCTTCATCCCATCTAGCCATTGCCTAACCCTAGCCTCCACCTTCCCCACCGCCACCTTCCTCGCTCTCTTTCTTTCGGCATTCTCTCTATACCCGATGGTGATTCATGGTCTACTCAAAGTATGATTCCGATCTCCAACCAACGGCCAAGGCATCATGAATCTTCTCCACTTTATGTCGTCGGTTTGATCTCAACCCTTGGCGAATCCCTAGAGATTTCTTCTTCCCGTAGTGCTTGTCGAAGAGGATCAAAGATTGGTACGTGGTTTTGCACAATGTCCCTCCGGGAAGGTTATCTTCCTCCTTGATTCACGTACTTTCAAATTCGACTTACTTTATTGAGATTTGTTCAAGCGAGAGATTGTGTCCACCAATCGCCATCCAGTAGTATTAGTAGGTTTGTTACTTCTTTGTTATTAGCTTTCATTGTTATGTCGTGGTCAAGTTGGAAGCTACTCCAATGCAATGCTTTAATTTTCCTATGTATTTTGACTCCGTCTAGTCTCTTGTGTGGCTTAGCCTAAGCGGAAGTAACCGTTTATTTGTTTTACGTTGTTGTTTTAATCGCTAATAATGAAAATCTGAAATTGTTCTTAAATATTTTGTGCAAGTTTCCGATTTAGCATATAGTTCTACATCATAAGTATTTGATCATAGCAGTTTGTTATGATGATTATAGCAATAATCTTATATGCAGGTTGTTTTTCTGGGTATATATAGTGATTAATTGCATGCCTTTTTTGTTACAAGGATTTTGGACGTTGTGCCATAATATACTTGATGGGCCTCTAAATTGCAAAATGTTTGTTTTTTAAGCTCTTAATTAGGTTGGTTGAATGACAGTCAATTAGATTTTGAGATATGATAATACAACTACATTGCAGATTATCAGTTCATGAGTAGTCTTGCGAATGAGGGACTTGAGTTCTACATGAGCATTTAGATTTGAGATCGACATATGTTATAATTTTGCATAAGCTTTGACACTCGTCATTCGAAAAAATATATATTGTGATCAAAGATCTATGAAGCATACATCATTGTCGTAAATGAATTATTTGATTAGTATTATAGAGCGATAAACTCTACATACAACTAGCTAAATAAAAAGGAAGGTTAGAGAGGAGAAAAAGCTTTGGAAGCTTTTGGCTAATGCAAACCTCATATATTTTTTAATAAATTAGAATAAAATACTTTAGAAGGTATGTAAGATCTCACTACCAGAAAAGATAATGACATTCTATGATTTTGACCCCCTTGCACTCTAGTGTAGATCATGCAGACAATTATGAATTCATTTTATAAGTACTTTCCTAATTTGTTTTAGATGTCAAAGTTAATTGACAATAGGAAGGAACCTTTTCATCCAAAGTTACTTTCGAAGTGGATGAGAGTCAGCATTGATGAGGTTCCTATATCTATCATAAGTTAAGGCATTTGAAAATATTTTAGAACTTACATTTAGAGTCTAATAAGCATTCTATGTCTAATTTTCGATGAAAACTGCAGAGTGTAAGTGATATAACATATCATATACCTGACAAGAAAAACTTAAAGAGATTTTTTCATCCAAAGTTACTTGGAAGTGGAGAAGGGCT